ACAAGGTTCTTCTTTTCAATTCTCGACTGCGACTCTTTCCAGGTAAGTTGAAATCCCGATGGAGTGGTCCTTTTGTGGTGACTAAGGTTTTCCCTTATGGAGTTGTTGAAATTTCCCATGATACTAAGGGAATGTTTAAGGTAAATGGCCAAAGGTTGAAAATTTATGTTGAAGGTGGTAATTTTCCAGCATTTAATTCCACCATTTTATTGAAAGACCCTTGATCATTTTGCAGTGATAGTCCAGCTAATGACTGTAAAGAAGCGCTTAATGGGAGGCAACCCATCAAAAAAAAAAAAAATTTGTTATTTGACATTTTTCTGTTTTGCATTGAGTTATTTAATTCTTTTATTCATTTTTTTAAGTTTGTTCTTTGACATTTTCTTTTTATTCAATTCTTTTATTCATTTTCTTTTTTCTAATTTTGGCTGGGTTAGCTTTTTATTACCCTGTTTGCAGTAGTTTAGACAACTATAACAAGAACTTTTGGCTCTAGAGGAACACACTGCATGTCTACAACAGGAAGAGCAAGATAGGGGAGTATTGTCTTTCTTCTCTTATTTATTTTTTTTACATTGAGGACAATGTTAATTTTAAGTTTGGGGGAGGATATTTTTTGTTTTCTTGCTTTTGTTGTGGTTTGAAGTGATAGAATATTGGATGCATGTGTGTGAGTTTAGGTTCCAGCATGGTATGAATATAGTCAAATGAGCCTATACATATTTTTGGTTGCATAGATGCTGTAAGTGAGGGATATTGTTCTTCTTTGATGATTAGGTCAAAATTTAGTAATACCTTGATGAGAGGAGTTGAGGGCTTTGACTTTATAATTGTTTTGGTTGGAAATTATATGCATCTTGTGAGTAGGTGCCATTGTTTCTGTGATGACTATCTTGTCTAATTATCCCTGGAAACTACTTAAAAAAAAAAAAGTCAAATGTTTCGTGGCCTTTGTTACTTGAGTAAGTATGCTCTTAGGGGTGTTTCTTCACCTAGTGCCCTAAAGCCAACTAGTTTGGGAGTCATTGGCAAAAAGCTCGTTACATGGGTAACTTAGAAAGACTAAAGAATCTTGACAAGAAAAGAAAAGAAAAAAAAAAGAGGAATAAGCCAGCACACAAAAAAGTTTGAATTTCTACTCCAATGTTTCTAAGTGCTTAGTAACTGGGGGTTAGGTATGCGACC